ACTGCAAGGTGCTGGATATTCTCAGTTCTCATGCACGGCACTGAATTGTCAACTTTAACACGAGCAATTATAAAAATGAAAGAAGAATCTGAAATGTGGATATATTTCAGGATGTTAAACATTTCCTGAATTGAGCAGGTGATTAGGTAAAATGAATAAGTAAAGTTGAATAAACATTAAACGCAGAAACTGTGAAGACTTTGATGACGCAGAGAAAAATGGAAGTAGAGATTGTTCCAGATGATAATTAAGGTAAAAGAAATGGGAAAATAAGTGCAAGATGGAGAAGAACTGACTAGCCGAAAAACCTGATTGGATTGGATGTAACACAATATCACTGTTTAGAGTTGCCACTTTAAAGTCAGAATATCCCTGAGGATGTCTGACCTCCGTGAGGAGGAGGACAAGAAGCAGCAACACTGTGGAACCTAGAGAATATACATTACAGGTGCTATGTAGCAGATGCAGAAAAAGGGTTCAATATTGTTGGGATGGAGACAAACCAATCATGTTCCTTCCCCCCACAATGACCTGTAGCAGCAAGCGGGAGCTGTACTTGCTTATGTTTCACATACACATAGTTGGAATGTAGTTCTGGTGGACTCCAAAGAGATCCAGTGTCACCAGAGGCTGCCACCCCATCTATAGAAACTGAGATGGCTTCCACATTATCTGTTCTCTTTGAAGTCGCCAGTCATTGTTTTGTTGCAGAGTTTTGAATTTGTCTGGGGGACGTGGTGGTGCTGCGGGCTAAACTGCAGAAGCCTGTGCTGCAGGGTCAGAAGACCAAGCAGTCGTAAGATCGAATCCACGTGACAGAGTGGGCGCCCGTCGCTTGTCCCAGCTCCCGCCAACCTAGTGGTTTGAAAGCATGCAAATGCAAGTAGATAAATAGGGACCACCTCAGTGGGAAGGTAACAGCGTTCTGTGTCTAAGTCGCACTGGCCATGCGACCACGGAAGATTGTCTTCGGACAAAAACGCTGGCTCTATGGCTTGGAAACAGGGATGAGCACCGCCCCCAGAGGCGAACACGACTGGACAAAAATTGTCAAGGGGAACCTTTACCTTTACCTTTTTTGAATTTGTTGTTAGATTCCTCTAGCCCCACAACAGAACTGCAGGGATTCACAGAGCCTAATAGCTTCAAGTTCCCAGATCCACCCCTTTTTTTCTTATCAATTAGCACGTGCAATCTCAATAACTCACTTTGGAAAAATTGGTAAGATAAAGCATTAAAACTTTCATTTACATATAGATCAGCATACAGATCAAACAGCAAACTGACGAACATGGCTGGCTGAATTTCAGCCACAGGCCTCAACAGATTGACTGCTTCCAACAAACTACTGAGGGAGAAAAAGCTGCAGAGCAGAGAGGTGAGGCTCTCTTTGAATTCAGAGGCAGGGGAGGAATGTTTGGCTAGCGCTGGACGAACGGACAGTCACGCCAGTCCAGAAAGGGTCCCTCCCAGCCACACCTGCTCAAGGCAGCATGCCAGGTTGCGAAGACTCCAACATGTTTACTTTCCTCCCCTCCCCTCATTTGACTGGATATCCAGATCAAGCCATTATTATTTGGATCTTATTAGGTTTTGAGACCTGAATTATGGTCATAATTTCCCCATAACTATACCACAGCATTGCAGCACTCGCTAGCCTGTCTAGTGAGGAAGGGAAATTGCTTAAAAGAAGAATAAATTATTTCCCTTTAAAAAAATAGTTGTTGCAGGTCCATCCAGTTTTCTCATTCCCTGTTGATCCTTGCTCAGTGATCAAATAGTTGACTAGGGGGAAAAACCCTCATACAATACCATGATTGTAATGCTGGCAGATGATTATCTTTATTTCTTCTGTACGGTAGACTATTTGTTGTATCACTGTCACAAAATCATGTACTTTTGACTACCACTCTTCAACATTCTTCATTTCTGATTTTAGAAGACAGATAATATACTTCTTTGTGAACTATTCTTACAGTCCAAAACCACCACTGAAGTTGTTTGTGCTCTATTTGATTTCTGTATTAGTATGAATTACTTTACCAATGCTGTCTACCAAACTGTAATGCATTTATTATTTGTTTGACTTAAAATCTATTTGCCCTGCACTATCTCCTTAAAAAGGCCCATACTGGCTTTAAAAGCCAAATCAGTAAGTATAAAAATATTTTAAAGGAATTAAACAAATATTATATTAAAAACTGTAAATAAAATCAATATTAGAAACACATTTAAAAGCAACAAGGCACAATAATCTATTTTAAAAATCCCTCTCAGTTTTGGCTTTTGGCTAAACAGAATTAAAAGATTGGCTTCAGAGTTCAGCCTCTCAAACACCCTTGTTCACTGGTAAGTGTTAGGGCACCATGTTCTGAAGCAATACACTTAGTTTTGGAGGTAATTTTATAAATATTATCAGTAACACAGTTACTTACTTTATTTTGGTAGCAAGTATGGAAAGAAGTTGCATTTCAAAAACAAAGGCAACGAGTGGGGAAAATGTAGCCATGTGTGCAATGAGCAGCATTTTCTAGTTACAGTACTTGCTTCTAAATTGCAGTTTGAGAAGAGAATTTATGACTTAAGACAAAAGTACCTGTAGTCTCACTGGCCTTTTAGACTCTACAGAAGGTTCCTCCTGAAGAGCTACCACTCCCATGCAGCACCACCAACAGCTTATGTTTTGTTATATTACAAACAGGAATCAAGGCAATAGCTCGGCTACACAGCCTTGGAGTTAAGCCCTGATCCAAATGAGCAACATTTGTTTGTCTTCGGACTAGAATTTCCAGAATTCTGCCTGGGATTCTTGGCTAATTTTGGGAGCTTGAGTCTAAAAGAAAAAGATAGCACATATCTAGAAAGGCCATCCACCCTGAAACACTTTAGAAATGCACACGGAACATGAAATCAGAACCCCAGCCACGACACACCCACCGTAATACCATGATGTTGTGTGAGAGGAACCCAAAAACCTGAAAACAGTACACCAAGGTACTTTGCCATGCTGCTCAGCATGACAGAGCTGGGTTTCACAACAAATATTTGCAGAATATAAAGTGAGACATGCCATCCACTGGGTGGGCATCAAAAAGGAGACCCAAATTTCTTGCAGCCATGCATAAAGCCAAGGAGTAAGATCTGCTTTCTCTCATTAATGGACTGGATAAGGATGAATACATTAAAGCTTAATCCAAGTCAAACTAAAGCCCCAGCAGAATGGGTTTCTGCTCTTGTGCCCTGGCAGAAAATTTATGTGAAGCTACAAGTTCGCATCTCTGCATCTGATTCCAGCAATGGTAATGTTCAAATGCACACCACGTCTGCATATTGTTAGTGTGGTTGCAGAGGTGGCTTGTGGTTTTTGCATGGGGGGGAAATGGCTCATCCCTCATTGGCCTGGCCACAGAAGGAAGGGAATGGAGATACGTGGTGCAGTATGTGCAGAAGGCCACAGGTTCAGTCTGCTGGCATCTCCAGAACCACCATCACAGCACTGAATTACCCAGCAGTAATTAACAAGAAAGTTATTTGGACCCCAGCCACTGCTGCACTAGGACAGACATTCTGCCAGACTGTCTAGTTGGGATTAGTTTTGGGATTCACTCATTCCTACGTTCTTATGGAAAACAAAATAGCCTGCAGACTCAGAAATGGTACAATTTTCCTTTCTCAGCAAAACCAAGACTACTAGCCTATAGACACCACTTGATTCCTTCCTTCATCGGTATGGAAAACCAGAAATGGAAGCAATGAAGAAGTCATGTCCTCTCAATCTTCCAGGGAAGGTGCCTGGTCTCTACAGCGGCCAAAGACTAATGAAGCTAGGGGTGCCAGAGCCCACAGGGCTGATACCATGGAGAGTGCCGAGTAGCAGGGATTAGGACAGACATCACTCAAAACTTCCCATTTGGGCTTCTCTGTTTTCTCTAACCTTAGCTGCAGTCCTTATACTGTAGTTAACGGGGAGAGAAATGGAATCTCCTAGAGATCGTATGGTGTTGCCCTGCCGCAACAAAAAGTAACTGAGAGACATCTGGTCATGAACTGACAAATAAGAGCCATTGATTTTACATAAGACCTGCTCCTCATTAGTTGATACGGGCCAACCTGAATTTTGTACGGTCCTTCTGGAGAAAGGTGAAGTTGGCTGGATAGCTCAGCGGTTTAGGTATCTAGCTGTGGAGACAGAGGTTGGGAGTTCACTTCCCCACCGTGCGTCCTGGGAGTAGAGCCAGCCTGCATGGCTTTGGGCAAGCTGCACAGTCCCAGGGTGTCCCCAGAAGAAGGGAATGGTAAACCACTTCTGAGTATTCTCTACCTGGAAAACCCTAAAAAGGGTTGCAGTAAGTCAGAATTGACTTCACAGCACACTATTTATGATTATGATTATTAAGGGGGTTAGCTATGAGATAGATATAATGGGTACTTGCAGTTTTATTTTACCACTAGACCACTGCCTGGATCTTTCACAAAGTACAGTATCCAGGTCTTACAGGCTAACTAAAACAAAAACAAAACAACAAAAAACAACACATATCTACCAATGCTCAGGTGTTCCCTCTTTATATGCAGTTCAAGGGGCAAACCAAGGTGCCCCCAAGCCCTGTATGGAGATTGTACTTCTCAGAAACAGCAAAAAGAACTTTTTTAAAAAAAAAGAGAGAGAGAATAAAGCCCATAAAAAGGCTGTCAAGTAATTTCGGACCTATCAACCATGTCCAAAGGATCCTATCATTAACAGATCCCAGAGGTCTTCCAAACTAATGGCAAAGGGGTTCCTTTATCGAGTCACTCCGGCGCATGTTGGGGGCTTCCTCTTTTCCCACTGCCTTCCACCCTTCCTCGCATGATTGTCCTAGAAAGGTCACCAAGGAACGACCCGCAATGCTCCAAGAACCGGGACCAGGCGGAAACGGCTACCAAGTCTGCTCGGCCCTCTCCGTCGCCTGCCTCCCCCTCCCCCGGCCGCGGTCTTCCCGCCGGACTGGCAGACTCACCGCTCGCCAGGCCCACGAGCTCCGGGGTGGCCACCAGGACCTCTCCGCCCGGCGGCAGCGACACCAGGAACCGGCCGCGCGGCGTGCGCAGCGGGCAGCGCAGGAAAGT